ATTAGCCCACCCGGGCACAAGTCACTGACCCACATCAGAGTGAGAAACGCTATACATTATGTATGTTGTGCTGTCAAAGTAAGAGCAACAATTGAGACCCTGCAACTGTGTGTAAATAAGGCAGAAAGTCTGTCAGATCACCAACCTGGGACTTGGTCACATGGCAGCAGGGTCTACCATTAGGCAACACATTATGCTTCCAATATCTTCCCAGGCGGTAGTACCTCCCTGCTTGTTATGTATTTGTTAACTCGCATCCATGAACTTTCTCTAAATGACCCATTGACGTTACCTCTCTCTCTCTCTCTCTCTCTCTCTCTCTCTCTCTCTCTCTCTCTCTCTCTCTCTCTCTCTCTCTCTCTCCACCACAGTATCTTACAGTAAAGAAAACATTAAACTTCAGCCCGGGCAACAAGAAGTAGAATCTAACTGTGAACGGAATCCCAAATTAAAATCTCTTGTTTGTCATCAATTTTTTTATACAAGTGATTTCTCTATACACACATACCTGTATTAATTAAACACCTGTGTGTCATTTTTTATGACGGGGATTTTTTTTTATCATGGGTAATTAACTTGTGACTGACAGATGAGTTGGATAATATAGATTATAATCTAGTGGGCGCTCTGAAGGGTAAGTCCTGGCTAGCCATTTGGATAATCGTTCTTTGGCTCTATGGGTAGTAGGATTGGCTCTTTGGATAAAAAGGTTTGGCTATATGATGAGTAATTTTGGCTATTTGGATGTTTAATAATGCCGCTTGGAGACTAGTTTTGGCTATTTGTAGAGTTTAGATCATTTGGTTAGTCATTTAGATCCAGTTGGGTAGTAACTTAGGATAATTACGTCGATTATAGATACACCTGAAGTATGTCTCCATTATAACACAGTAACATTGTACACAACACCACGACGTCGGAGTTATTTACGTCACGCCATAACTAACTACGACACGTCTTACTGAACATCAACACGAAATTCACCAACAACACCCATTTTTTCCCTTTTCTGTGGTCCAGTGATGAGGGCTTCACAGGCTGCCTAAACATTTAATTAAAGGCGTCATTATACAACACCATTATCTCCCTGACGAGGCTTTTTCAGGACCAGGTGATACACAACACGTTCGGAGCTCGAGGATTCTTACGTTTAAAAAAAATAATTCCCCCACCTCCAGCGATCAGATAGTGGGGGAGAACCTGTCTTAACTGACTCATTTAAGTTACCTCACAAAGTTGGGGTGGGTGAATGTATTATCTGACTCAATCAACCTGGTTCATAAGTTAATTATCCCCCCTAACTGGTGATATAAGAACGTATTTTAACTACCATCCTCAATTAAACTACAACACAACACAAAGGACTAAGATGGCGTCGAAAACACATTAAGACTCTCTACTTTATCACAAGTAAATGCGATTTTTTTTTGTTCCCAGTCAAAAAAAAAAAAAAATGAAATTGAAGTCAGGAATGTTGACTAGTTATCCGTGTATGTGTGAACCAGTTTGTGTGTTGATCTAGTGACTGGCTTCTGTTTTTGGTCAGATATTAATGGTCGTCGCTTCGTTAGTCGGAGTATGAATGTTCCTCTTAATGGTGGAGGGTTAGTGGTGGAGGGATGGTGGTGGGGTAGTGGTGGAGGGTTGGTGGTGGGGTAGTGGTGGAGGGTTGGTGGTGGGGTAGTGGTGGAGGGATGGTGGTGGTGGTAGTGGTGGAGGGATGGTGGTGGTGGTAGTGGTGGAGGGTTGGTGGTGGGGTAGTGGTGGAGGGTTGGTGGTGGTAGTGGTGGAGGATGGTGGTGGTAGTGGTGGAGGATGGTGGTGGGGTAGTGGTGGAGGGATGGTGGTGGTGGTAGTGGTGGAGGGGATGGTGGTGGTGGTAGTAGGGATGGTGGTGAGGGATGGTGGAGGGATGGTGGTGGTGGTAGTGGTGGAGGGATGGTGGTGGTGGTAGTGGTGGAGGGTGGTGGTGAGTGGTGGTGGGATGGTGGTGGGGTAGTGGTGGAGGGATGGTGGTGGGGTAGTGGTGGAGGGGTGGTGGTGGTGGTGGTAGGGTGGAGGTGGTGGTGGTGGGGGGTGGAGGGGGTGGTGGTTGGTGGGGTAGTGGTGGCGGGATGGTGGTGGGGTAGTGGTGGAGGGATGGTGGTGGGGTAGTGGTGGAGGGATGGTGGTGGTGGGGTAGTGGTGGAGGGTTGGAGGTGGGGTGGTGGTGGAGTGGTGGAGGGATGGTGGTGGGGTAGTGGTGGAGGGATGGTGGTGGTGGTAGTGGTGGGAGGGGTGGTGGTGGTAGTGGTGGAGGGATGGTGGTGGGGTAGTGGTGGAGGATGGTGGTGGGGTAGTGGTGGAGGGATGGTGGTGGTGGTAGTGGTGGAGGGATGGTGGTGGGGAGTGTGGTGGAGGGTTGGTGGTGGGGTAGTGGTGGAGGGGATGGTGGTGGTGGTAGTGGTGGAGGGTTGGTGGTGGGGTAGTGGTGGAGGGATGGTGGTGGTAGTGGTGGAGGGATGGTGGTGGTGGTAGTGGTGAGGGGATGGTGGTGGGTAGTGGTGGAGGGTTGGTGGTGGGGTAGTGGTGGAGGGATGGTGGTGGGGTAGTGGTGGGAGGGTTGGTGGGGAGTGGTGGAGGGATGGTGGGTGGGGTAGTGGTGGAGGGATGGTGGTGGGGTAGTGGTGGAGGGATGGTGGTGGTAGTGGTGGTGAGTGTTCCTTCATTGTTAATAATATAACAGAAGCTGGTTGTTAATGATACACTGTCAATGTTCAGAAAGATTCGCTCGATTAAGTATTCTTTATCGCTGATGATGTAAGAGCTTGGCTGACTGGTTGTCTTAAAGCACCACGTTAATATCTAAATATGACATCATAATTACACTGAGACTCTACCTTAACTAGATACCTTCGCTTGACACCAGTTAGGAGTCAACATTACACTGAGACTCTACCTTAACTAGATACCTTCGCTTGACACCAGTTAGGAGAGACAACATTACACACACACACACACACACACACACACACACACAAACATACATGAAGATTAATTAACTGTGAACTGAAATGTGGACTTGATTATGAGACAAATTTTAAATACACAATATTAAATTAAATATTACGAGAGAAGAAGAGAAAGAAAGAAAGGATAGTTAATTAAATCCTGTTTTATGTCTTTTATTACTATGATATATGTTTGTTACTTTTTACTTTATTTTTCGTCTCATATAGTCACGAGTTTACTATTTTAACCGTCTCTCTCTCTCTCTCTCTCTCTCTCTGATTATCCAGCCCCTCTGTCCCTCCATACCCCTCATCTCTCTCCTCCAGAACACCTGCACTCAACCAGTCAACCTTTGAACAGTAATCAACATTATTACACTACACAACACTACACTACACTACACTACACTACACTACACTACACTACACTACACTACACTACACTACACACACTACTACACTACACTACAGTACACATACACTCACACGCTATACTACACTACACAACACACAACAACACTACACACACAACACTACACTACAACACTACACACACAACACTACACTACAACACACTACACTACTACACACTACAACACTACAGTACACTACACTACGCTATACTACACTACACAACACTACACAACACAACACTACACTACACAACACTACACTACACTACACTACACTACACTACACTACACAACACTATACTACACTACACACACCACACAACACTACAGTACACTACACTACACTACACAACACTACACTACACAACACAACACTACACTACACTACACTACACTACACTACACTACACTCTTGACGTGCAACATGCAGTAGCTGCAACTGGCATTTTGCTACGTGTATAATGATAGACCAGGAGCCAGCAGTATAATCAACTCGTGTTGTTGTCTCTCCCGAAGGTGAACCTAACTGGGACTTACCTGGACTTACCTGACGTAGGTACAGTGCATGAGTCAGGCAAAATGACCACACCTGTCTGTTTTAACTGTAGTGGTCAATGTTACGACACAGAAAGTTATCCTACTGTTGGTTTATGATTGGTTAAGTTAGGTTAATCAGGTAAAATGAATGGTTATAGTCCGATTATCACCACAACGTGACCCTGATTGTTGCTGTTTCACTTTAACACAACCCCAAGTTATATTGCTTCCCACATTACTGTATATCAATAGCTCTATACTGAAAAAAACAAAATATAAAATAATAAGACAATTGAGATAAACGCGCTAACATGTATTTATCTGCACCATGTAATATGTCGTAATCCACAGGGCACTAAGTGCTTATGATAATTCCCCGAGATAAGTGTACAGTATATAACAGGTGCCACTAAGAAGGCTCAAGCTCTCACTTGTCTCGGTCATGTCAGTAATGTTGTTGTCAGTGTTTTTGTTGTTGTTGTTGTAGTTCACTTTGTATCTATATTTTTCTGGTTAAATAAACTGTTTCTTGGGTCAGTTATCAAAGCTATGTAGTGATTATTGTTACGACACGAGAATTTTCGACTCCTTGGTCACTTTACGTTACGTTAGGTATTCTTCAAGAGAATAATTTTCAAGTATTGCAACATTATCCTTTACCATATGAAGTGGTTAACGTATCAAAAGGTTCTAACAATAACACCAAAAGGGTTAATGTTCCGGTATGGTAACATTAACCTCTGGAAATTTCAAATTCTTTTAATATAAAATATATTCATTAGGCGATTCAGAGTTAATGTTAATCAATATTTTAACTCGAAAATGTTGTGTTAAATGTTACAATCATGGAGATATGTGTCAGCTTGTTCAGGTACTTATTTAGACAGTGTAGGAGACAAATTACCTTCCTGCTCGACGCCGTCAGATGAAATGGGTTGAGGATATTTATGTTTTCAGCAGCATTTGCTGGATAAGTAAATAAATTAACAGAGGGAACATTATTATTATTATTATTATTATTATTATTATTATTATTATTAATTAACTCATTTTTCTTCAGACTGCATCAAGACAGGTAAAATCAGCAGCGTGTGGGTACCAGCCCGTCGCAGCGCTCACTACAAGAAAATCAACCGTCCATTGGCTAACTCCACCGTGGCGTCATATGGCAACGTAGAATATGATTGGATGAGCGCTCATTACGACAGACAAACAGACAACATTACTCTCCTGCCTTTCCCTGAGAAGACGCATCAAAGGAAGGGAATAATCTGTATTAGAAAGGAAGAAGAGAAGTAGAAAGTAGCAAGAGAAAGGGTAGAAAGTAGCAAGAGAAAGGGTAGAAAGTACTCAAGAATTAGCCGTTAAAATGGAGAAATGAAAGAGATTAATTATTGGATTTCGGTGTCTGTCAGTCGGGGTTATTGTGTCTCGCCGCCCGACGTACAACACTGTTTTGTTTACTAGTCTGTCTGTCTGTATTCGTGTGTCTGTCTGTCCGTCTATATGTCTGTGTGTCTAATTGTTTGTGTGTCTATGTATCTTTCTATCGTTTATCTGTGTCTGTCTGTGTCTGTGTTCACCCCAAAGAGGCGGTGCAATGCTCAGATCATGCCAGGGTGTACACTGTTGGCTTAACCTGACACCCTTGCAATATGACACCCGTCTGATCTGACATACCCCTGTTAGCTGACACCCATGTGATGTGACACCTATCTGATCTGAAACCCTTGTAATCTGCCGCCATACCTGATGTATTGTTGAATATGACACCGATTATAACTGACACGCAACTAAACTGACACCTATGTATCTGACACCCATCATATGACACCCACGCGTTATAATGTGAGTAATATGTGTTTATGTTGTATCTTATGTGTTGTGTTGGACTTAATTATTACTCTAAGTTGAAATAAAGATACTATTTTATTATACCTTTGTATTATTTGATATTATGATGATTGTTGTGTAATGATGATGATGATGATGATGATGATGATGATGATGATGATGAGGATGAGGATGATGATGATGATGAGGATGAAGCTGCTGCTGCTTTTTTTTTTTTTTTGGAAAAGTGGCCTCCAGCCTCCCCCAATAGCCACACCTTCGCCGCCATTTTATTGCCTTAAAATTAAATATCCTAATACAAAGTAAGCTATCTGGCTTTGTGTTGAGTTAGTTGAGCAATTCAGACCTAAGAAATTAGGTCCAAGTTCTGGATTAAATTAGGGGTTAAATTTGGAAGGCTTCGGTGGAAGGAAGGTACACATGAAGCGTGGGTGGAGGTATATAAGGCGTGGGTGGAGGATAGAGGGAACATGGAGAATTGGAATTACACTTAGAATTATTAGGTGGAAGGAGGTAGAATTTTTATGAAGGGGGTGGAGGTACATGGGGTGTGGGTGGAGGAGGTGGGTACATGTGAAGCGTGGGTGGAGGTGCAAATTGCATAGAGGGTGGAGGTACGTGGGAGGCGTGAGTGGAGGGAGGTAGAGGGTACATGGAGGGGGTGGACGGTACGTGGGGAATTGTGGGTGGAGGGAGGTGGGGGTACATGGAGGTGGACGGTACGTGGGGTGTGGGTGGAGGGAGGGTAGAAGGTACATGGAGGGGGTGAGGGCTACATAGGGCGTAGTGGAAGGGAGACTAGAATTACTGGAGGTGGACGGTACGTGGGAGGTGTGGGTGGAGGGGGAGGGTAGGGTTCATGGAGGGGGAGTGGACAGGGTGTGGGTGGAGGGAGTGGGGTTCATGGAGGGTGGACGGTACGAGGGGTGTGGGTGGAGGGGAATGGGGTACATGGAGAGAGTCGTTATGGGGCCGTGGTGGAGGGAGGTAGAGGGTTCATGGAGGGGGGTGGACGGTACGTGGGGTGTGGGTGGAGGGAGGGTAGAGGGTACATGGAGGGGGGGTGGACGGTACGAGGGGTGTGGGTGGAGGGAGGGTAGAGGGTTCATGGAGGGGGGGTGGAGGGTACGAGGGGTGTGGATGGAGTGAAGGCAGCCTCAGCGGGTAGTTGTATTATCCGCTTCAAATATTAGAAAGAATTATAATTTGTTTTCCTACAGATAAATATAGTTCTGAGGATGGTGTTGTAATTGTTCTTATCATTGTTGTTGTTGGTATTATTGTCGTTATTAATGTTGTGTGATGATGATGATGGTATTAAGTGTTATGGTGTAGTTGGTGATTGACGTTGATGGTAGCAACTGATGATGATGATGATGAAGGAGGCTGTACTCTTGGTAGTAATGATTATGATGATGCCAAGAAATAATGATGGTTACGACGGTCCGTCCCTCGTAGCGCTCTTCAAGAGTGAGGTGCTTTCCCCGTCACCCAGGCTGGTCCCCGAGATATGCTAGAGACTGTCAGTTGATTGACAATGGCCCTCCGAGGGCCACCAGAGCTTGCACCTCGGCACTTCAGTTATCCAAGGAGATTAGAACGCCTGCAACTGCCTTGCTTATGCTACAGACGGGCAAGGGGTGATCTAATCGAAGTGTATAAACATCTCTAAGGGCACTATTGAGTCGAGTGTTCTTACCTGGAGCTGGCGGGAGCCCGCCCCACAAGGGGTCACAGTTCAAGGTTGAAGAAGCCGCAAGCCCGAAAACTGTGAGGGGTAACCTTTACGGAGTGAGAATTGTGAACTCCTGAAGCAATGTACCAGAGAGTTTTGTGACGGTACCGTGTGTGAGCTCTTTCAAGACCAGACTTGACAAGCACTGGGGCAGGTATAGACACATTCAGGAGCCAATTCATGCCCAGTATTTGCCAACAATACGTAACAGAGACGTGACCGACCACCCAAGCGGCTAACGAGCCGATCAATGGAGAAGAGGATAAAAGTAAAACGTAAAAGTAAACAATAAGGTCGAATATAATATTTGAGTTACTCCCAAAAATGTTACCGTTTTCTATCATTTATTCATACATTCCATTTTCTGTGATTCAAGGGGTAATTATAATATATTTTGAAGACAATACAATTTTCACTTGCTACTTATAATGCTATGACTATGACCGGATTGTTGTTGTTGTTGTAGTTGTTGGCTTTTTGTTGGCATTAATGCTGAGTTTTGTTGTTGTGTTGGTGGTTGGGGTTACAGTGGTGGTGGTGTTGGTGGGGGTAGTATGGTGAAGGTAGTAATGGTGTTTTTATGAGTGATGATTGGTAGGTGTGATGGTGGTAGTTGTGGAAAACTAAAAGAAACTCCCTGTAAATCTACACAAAAACTCCCTGTAAATCTACACAAAAACTCCCTGTAAATTGAAACCTAAAGGAGACCACATCACTTTATCAGAGAAAGTAAGTCCTTCACCACCTTTTTGTAGGTTGTATTATTTTCACTTGACTAAGGTTATCATGGAGTACCTGGGTGACGTAATGGCTGCCTTACCTGGACAACAACCTTGATTAAAATTCTCTCTCAATCAAACAAGTGTGTGACGTAACCTCTCTTACCCTAACCTAACCTAACCTAACCCTCTCCCAGGTAGCACTTGGGTGTTTAATCACCAGGTGTAATTAACTGTGGGGCTAATCTTCAGGTGATCCGAAATAGTGATAGTAGTTCCCATAGTTCTGACTTATCATTAGGAACAGTGGGTGGAGGAGGGTAGGAACAGTTGGTGGAGGAGGGTAGGAACAGTGGGTGGAGGAGGGTAGGAACAGTGGGTGGAGGAGGGTAGGAACAGTGGGTGGAGGAGGGTAGGAACAGTGGGTGGAGGAGTGGAGGAACAGTGGGTGGAGGAGGGTAGGAACAGTGGGTGGAGGAGGTAGGAACAGTGGGTGGAGGTGGAGGAGGAACAGTGGGTGGAGGAGGTAGGAACAGTGGGTGGAGGAGGTAGGAACAGTGGGTGGAGGAGGGTAGGAACAGTGGGTGGAGGTGGGGAGGAACAGTGGGTGGAGGAGGGAGGAACAGTGGGTGGAGGTAGGAACAGTGGGTGGAGGAGGGTAGGAACAGTGGGTGGAGGAGGGTAGGAACAGTGGGTGGAGGAGTGGAGGAACAGTGGGTGGAGGAGGGTAGGAACAGTGGGTGGAGGTGGGAAGGAACAGTTGGGTGGAGGAGGATAGGAACAGTGGGTGGAGGTGGGAAGGAACGGTTGGGTGGAGGAGGATAGGAACAGTGGGTGGAGGTGGGAAGGAACGGTTGGGTGGAGGAGGAGGAGATGAAAGAGATGAATGGGAGCAGTGCGTGGAGGAGGAGGTTGGGTGGACAGAAGTAATGGGTGGAGGATGGAAAGATGGGTGAGAGAAGTGGGTGGAGGGTGTGGGAGGTGGAAGTGGCCAGGAGCAGTGGGTGGAGGGTAAAGGAGGAAGTGGACGTGGGCATGGACAGTGGATGGAGGGTGGAGGATAGAAGAGGAGGTTGGAGGTGGTCAGAAACAGTGGGTGGAGGAGGGTAGGAACAGTGGGTGGAGGAGGGCGGATGGACGTAAGCACAGACAGAGAACAGAGCCACACACACACACACACACACACACACACTCTGCCTCAACTCCTAGGAGACACTCTTTACCCTCATTACTGTGTGCGATACAGCAGCTTGCTATACACTGCAGAGCTCTAGAACAGTCTGTCATACTCCACGATACTCCTCCATACTCCACGATACTCCTCCATACTCCACGATACTCCTCCATACTCCACGATACTCCTCCATACTCTACGATACTCCTCCATGCTCTACGATCGACAATAGTACATCGCAAAACCACGTACAGTGCTCTACGAATCCGCGATACACTGTAGTGCTCTGGGATAATCCGCTATACTAATATGTACACTGGTGATGTACTTAAGCTGATGTACTAGTGATGTACAATAGTGCTGTACTTAAGTGATGTAAAGTGTACTTACGTATTGTGTATTGTGGCGGAGATGTACTTAAACTGTTGTACTAAATGTTTTATAGTGATGTACTCATGTGCTAAAGTGATGTACAGTGTTATTATGTAATGTAATAAGGTGAAATATTTAAATAATGTAGTATAGTGAGATAAGTGCTGTACTAAGATAATCTGCAGAAGTGATATATCAAAGTGTACTAAGGTTTTGAGATGATGTAACAAAGTGCTCTTCCTGCTACAAAAAAGGACATATGTACAATACCAATATATACATATATGTACAGAGTGATATTTCAAGATGGTGTACTTATACTTCTCATATGTACTAAAGAAAAAAGTACAAAATAGGTAAATTCAAGGGATGTACACTGATGTACTGTACGCTTATTCCTCTGTTACTTGGAAATGTACAAATGTGGGAGAGATTGGATATGTACTAGTATGATGATCCTAAAGCAAACAAGTACAGTGGCAATGTGCTTTCGTGGTAACAAGTACTAAGATGGTGTGTGCACAACCCAGGTGCACTGTTGTGATGAATGATGTGTACTTTGGAGTAATATATATATATATATATATATATATATATATATATATATATATATATATATATATATATATATATATATATATATATATATATATATATATATATATATATAGAGAGAGAGAGAGAGAGAGAGAGAGTATTTCCATTAGACTTTTATCAAGGCATTATCACCACATTAAAAATAGATTATATTTATATTCAGTAATAACTTAGTATTCTCATTTTACATTATCCTGTGTGTGTGTGTGTGTGTGTGTGTGTGTGTGTGTGTGTGTGTGTGTGTGTGTGTGTGTGTGTGTGTGTTGCAATTGATAGGAAGGCCTTTGATAATCCATCTTTGTACAGCAGTCTACCTGAGTTGGCTAGAAGTCGCCATTGAGGGGAAAGTCCTTTGGAGTATCCACCTCCAATAGTCTTCCCTCCAATCACGTCTCAAAGAAGAGGGTGTTGTATTGAGGGTCGCCAGTAGCTACAACACTCCCTATTGTTGTATGATACAGTAGCCGCCGTCCCCACCTATTATAAGGCTTAAGGAGTCTTACGTTATAATCACTATATGCTCCTCACCCCTCCTCCGTCCCTCCCTCCTCCCTCCCTCCTTTCCTCCTCCCTCTACCCCCTCCCTCCTTTCCCCTCCACATTCTCTTCCCTCCTTCCCACCTTTCCTTCTCCCCTATTCTGCCTTTCCTTCTCCTCCTTCCCTCCTCTGCCCCTCCCCAATATCTCTTCCCCTTCCCCTTACTCTGCCTTGCCTGTCCCCCCCTCCTCTGCCCCTCCCCATTTACCCCCAAATCCCCCCCTGCCCCCCTTTACCCCTCACATTTTCTCTTCCACAATCCCTCTTCCCCCCCCTCTGCCTCTCCCACAATCCCCCTCACCTCCTCCACCCCCTCCCCATTCTCCCCCCCCCCTCCACCCCTCCCCCATCCCATCAGTGTGGTGATTGGAAAAAACCACACACGTTAGGTACAGTTAAGCTTGCTTGTACAAGAAATCAGTTACCATTTCCCACTCCAGCTGTGTGTGTGTGTGTGTGTGTGTGTGTGTGTGTGTGTGTGTGTGTGTGTGTGTGTGTGTGTGTGTGTGTCAGTGTTAGATAAATGATTTCCTGTAACTTATCATGAAGAAATATTTAGGTATTAAGTTTATGTGGTATTAGTTGACGGTCGTTGTCTCGTGAAGGTTAGGAACCCCAGCTTTTTTCACCTGATGATTCAACACCCAAATGCTAACCTAACCAAATCTAAACTAACTTAACTTAACCCAGACTAAGGTAATTGAAACCTAACCTAATCTAACTTATCTCGCCATTTTTAACGTAACCTAACCTAACCTTTATCTTCTTTAGGTAGAGAGTGTCAGTGTTATATAGAAGTTAATAGTAGACGGTATTTTTTTTTCATCTTAAGAACATAAGAACTTAAGAATGGAGGAAACTGCAGCGGGCCTATTGGCCCATACTGGGCAGTCCCATTTACACTCAACCCCTATTGCTCATATAAGCATCCAACCTACAGTATGTTTGAAGCTATTCAGCGTATTCGAGTTAATGATGATATTTGGTAACTTGTTCCATTCATCCACTACTCTGTTTCCAAACCAGTGTTTGCCTATTTCACGCCTAAATCTAAATTTGTCTAATTTAAAACCATTGTTACGAGTTCGCTCCTGGTTGGATAGTTTGAGTACCTTTGTAATGTCCCCGTTGTTTAGCCCTGCCTTCCACTTATACACCTCTATCAGGCCGCCCCTCGCTCTACGTCTTAAGTCAACTAATTAAGGTTTATTCTCATTTATCATCTGACTTACGAGGATTATTGATCATACGAACAGTTGTGAGACTCTTAAACCTTGGCTGACCTTACGAAGCTCTGGACCCGGATTCATGTGTCTTGCGTCATGCGGGCCCACACACACACACACACACACTACTGACGTTCACCACCCGGTCTCTTTCTGACTCTACAAAAACAATAGATCACCTGAAGATTAGACACCCTTCCCCCTTCAACCCCCTCACCCTTCCCCCTTCACCTTCCCCTTGTAACCCCCACCTTCCCCCTTCACCCCTCACTCTTCCTCCTTCTCCCCCTTCCCCTTCACCCCCCACCCCTTCCCCTTCACCCCTCACTCTTTATCCTTCTTCCCCCCACCCTTCCCCTTAACCCCCCACCTTCCCCTTCTCCTTGCCCCTCACCCTTCCTCTTCTCCCCTCACCCCCCTCACCCCCTCCATGGCCAGTGGAAATTGTCAGCTTCTGAGTGTACCTTAACAATAGTCCCAGGCTGGGTAAGTGGGTCGTGGGCAGCAGCGATGGCCGGCGTGAGGTGGGCAGCCCGTGGGGTGACCGGCGCAGAGTGTTCGGTGGGCAGTATCCTCCACTAACACCCGTCACCAGCTTCATTAACACATAATTCCACATACCGCCCCGCCTTCCCTCTCCCCTGGGGACACTACCCCTCCACCCACCTACCCACCTACCCACTTACCCACCCACCCACCCACCCACCCAACAACCCACCCACTCACCTATCCACATTCTCACCTTTCAGATGATACACAGTTAGCGAGAGAGAGAGAGAGAGAGAGAGAGAGAGAGAGAGCGTGCATGATCACACACATACACACAGGACAAGTAACACACACCGTTCTGCTCTTTATCAAACACATAATTGGCGTTGTATACATCGAGTGTGTGTGTGTGTGTGTGTGTGTGTGTGTGTGTGTGTGTGTGTGTGTGGACGGGTGTACGTTTGTGTGTATATACTGTACAGTAGGTGTATGTGTGTGTGTGAGTATGTGCATTTCTAAGTAATTCCTCATGAGAACAGAGATCGAGGGTTCAGGATTCGGGGATTCGGGTTTTCGATTGGAAGCCTCGAGGCCTCGACTATTGAAGGTAGAATATCTTCAAGAGAGTCGGCTTCACCAAACACTGAAGGCTTGCTGTACACCGCCATATTGGGTGAAGGCTCCTGGAGGCTAGGCGGACCAACTCCTCCTTCTCCTCCTCCTGCCCTTCTCCTCCTCCTGCCCTTCTCCTCCTCCTGCCCTTCTCCTCCTCCTGCCCTTCTCCTCCTCCTTCTCTTCCCTCTCTACGCCTTATTCAATTTTGTTCATGACCAACCTGAACCAAATGTGTACAATGCTGTGTGTGTGTGTGTGTGTGTGTGTGTGTGTGCGTGTGTGTGTGTGTGCGTGTGTGTGTGTGTGTGTGTGCGTGTGTGTGTGTGTGTGCGTGTGCGCGCCATTTTGAACACGTGGACAACAACAACAACAACAAAAATAACTACAACTACAACAACCACAGCAAACAACTCTGGTGGTGGTGGTGTGTGTCAGTAGTGAACACGCTTTATCTGTATACTAAACATAACGACACTTGATAAGACCTATAACACACACACACACACACACACACACATACACACACACATCGCCGCGTGACAAATAAGATGTTATCTAGCTTCCTGTGTTGGGTGTGGAAAACGATCAGTGTTGAGCAGAAGAGTGTGGTGAGTGCGAGTGTGGTGAGTGCGAGTGTGGTGAGTGCGAGTGTGGTGAGTGCGAGTGTGGTGAGTGCAATTAATGTCTGAGCTTTTGTGTGTGTTTGTGTGCGTGTATGTGTGTGAAAAGTGGTCAGTATTTTGTGGCGAAGAAAGTGATAAAACATATTAGAAAATAACCCCGTCAAGTGATACAGTCCCCGTCAAGTGATATAGTCCCCGTCAAGTGATATAGTCCCCGTCAAGTGATATAGTCCCCGTCAAGTGATATAGTCCCCGTCAAGTGATATAGTCCCCGTCAAGTGATATAGTCCCCGTCAAGTGATACAGTCCCGTCAAGTGATATAGTCCCCGTCAAGTGATACAGTCCCCGTCAAGTGATATAGTCCCCGTCAAGTGATATAGTCCCGTCAAGTGATACAGTCCCGTCAAGTGATATAGTCCCCGTCAAGTGATATAGTCCCGTCAAGTGATACAGTCCAGGTGATATAGTCCCCGTCAATTGATATAGTCCCCGTCAGAGTGATATAGTCCCGTCAAGTGATACAGTCCCCGTCAAGTGATACAGTCCCGTCAAGTGATATAGTCCCCGTCAAGTGATATAGTCCGTCAAGTGATATAGTCCCCGTCAAGTGATATAGTCCGTCAAGTGATGATCCCGTCAAGTGATATAGTCCCCGTCAAGTGATATAGTCCCGTCAAGTGATACAGTCCCGTCAGGATATAGTCCCGTCAAGTGATATAGTCCCCGTCAAGTGATATAGTCCCGTCAAGTGATACAGTCCCGTCAAGTGATACAGTCCCCGTCAAGTGATATAGTCCCCGTCAAGTGATATAGTCCCCGTCAAGTGATACAGTCCCCGTCAAGTGATATAGTCCCCGTCAAGTGATATAGTCCCCGTCAAGTGATATAGTCCCGTCAAGTGATATAGTCCCGTCAAGTGATATAGTCCCCGTCAAGTGATACAGTCCCGTCAAGTGATATAGTCCCCGTCAAGTGATACAGTCCCGTCAAGTGATATAGTCCCCGTCAAGTGATATAGTCCCCGTCAAGTGATATAGTCCCGTCAAGTGATATAGTCCCGTCAAGTGATACAGTCCCGTCAAGTGATACAGTCCCGGTCAAGTGATATAGTCCCCGTCAAGTGATATAGTCCCCGTCAAGTGATATAGTCCCCGTCAAGTGATACAGTCCGTCAAGTGATACAGTCCCGTCAAGTGATACAGTCCCCGTCAAGTGATATAGTCCCCGTCAAGTGATATAGTCCCCGTCAAGTGATACAGTCCCCGTCAAGTGATATAGTCCCGTCAAGTGATATAGTCCCCGTCAAGTGATACAGTCCCCGTCAAGTGATGTGGTCCCGTCAAGTGATGTAGTCCCCGTCAAGTGATGATCCCCGTCAAGTGATATAGTCCCGTCAAGTGATATAGTCCCCGTTAAGTGATATAGTCCCCGTCAAGTGATATAGTCCCCGTCAAGTATAGACCCCGATAGTACGGACTCATCCACTTATTAACCACCATTTTCACACAGACTGAGAAGGATCAGAGATGGAGAGTCACCTGATCAATTACTGCAGCAGCAACTCCACCTCACCCATCTCGGAGGACCACCTTCAGTCACTCTACGAGGGCGTCTTTCAGGTGGTGTTCCCGACCTTGATAGTGGTGGGCGTACTCACCAACTTACTCAACGTGACGGTACTAACGCGGCCCATGATGAGTAACAAGACCTATAGGTGAGTAAGTGTGTGTGAGTTAACGCTGCCCATGATGAGTAACAAGACCTATAGGTGAGTAAGTGTGTGTGAGTTAACGCGGCCCATGATGAGTAACAAGACCTATAGGTGAGTAAGTGTGTGTGAGTTAACGCGGCCCATGATGAGTAACAAGACCTATAGGTGAGTAAGTGTGTGTGAGTTAACGCGGCCCATGATGAGTAACAAGACCTATAGGTGAGTAAGTGTGTGTGAGTTAACGCTGCCCACGATGAGCATAGGCAGATGTTGTGTGTAAGCAACACGATGAGCATAGGTAAGTGTGAGTGTGTCAACTTAACCCATGATGACATATGAATGTGTTAAAGGGCTGAGAGGTCAACGTATGTAGTGGCATTATTATTATTGTGGTTGTTGTCGTTGTTTGTAATACACAGTGACGTAATACATAGTGAACCTGTGTACAGCGATGATTCACTCTGAATGTTAAGGATGTGACTCAGTATTTATAGGGCATCGTTAGGAAGTTTAGTGAGTCACTGTACTGTATAAATGTCTTGGAATACTGTGTGTGTGTGTGTGTTAAAGATGTGAACAAATTCAGTATGTGTGAATATTTCTACTCTTTGTTTTGGCACTTTATTTGTCACTTCTACACTTGTTTTACATCACTCAGCCTCCACTTGTTTAATGTGTCTGTACCACTTGATCCACCCCATAAGAAAGGGAAGAGGAGTGTAAATTATATATATAAAACCTGTGGTTAATTGTGATTGTTAATTGTGATTGTTGTTCCAGGTGGCTGCGGTGTCTGGCTGTGGTAGACATTTGTCTGTGTGTGCTGAGCATCCCCATCTGTCTGTCAAACGGTGGCCACGGCTCCACCCCCTACAGCACCGCCTTATACTACGCTCACTTCGGGTGGTCCTCCAGCATCGCCGCCCAGATCCTCAGTTTCTACCTCATGAGTTGGTTCGCCTACGAGAGGTTCCTGGCCGTGTGCCGTCACGCCGAGTACCGCAGCAGCCAGCGATCTCGGTTGTTTAAAAGGCGTGTGGTGGGTAGTGTGGTGGGCGTGGTGGTGCTCTACCTGCCCACTGCAGTAGTGGGACAAGTGTGTCAGGTGGACGATGGCTGGATCCCTGTGGATGGGTACTCCATTGTCAAGTTACCTCTGTGGTATTCTGTGTACTCGTGGGTCAGGGAGATCTTTTCTCGTGTGGTCCCCGCCGCCGTCATCACCTTCTGCAACGTCAAAATCACTTACCGCCTCAAGCACCTCCGCAGCATCCGCGACGGCTTCGGTAGCGGTGTGTCCCCCGCCAGGAGAGAGCGAGAACGTCGCCTGGTGCTGTTGTTGTTCTGGGTGACGGCGTTCTTCTACGTCTACAACACCCCCGTCACCGTGTACTACTTGGGCTTCTACGCTCCTCCTCCTCACCTTCGGGGCCATCAGCAACGCCAGATGATGGGCAACGTGTCTAACTTTGTACTCTACTTCTTGATCAACCCGGACTTCCAGCGTACGTTGAAGGTCATGTTCCACCTCAGGGTGCCAGACAGTGCCAGTGCCATCGACACAGGGACTTGTGACGTAAAGCAATCCTCTAACTCCTTCCGTAGTTCCATTCCCGGATGTGGCACTACTACTGCTGCTGACAACTGTTCTGACTCAGGGCTACAACACGACCTCCCGCCCTCTGATGCTCTGAATAGCTACCACCCCAATGATAACGACAACATCAGCTTGTAGAGATGGTGGTGGTGGCGTGGAGGTGTAGATGATGGTGATGGTGGTTGGAGATGATGGTGGTATTGGATGATGGTAGTGATGGATGATGTTGGTTGGTGGACTTCAGTACCTAACGAGCTCCGGGCGACAATCACTCCTCACCACCTCACCACTTCACCACTTCACCCTTCACCGCCTCACCACCTCACCTCACACCTCACCCTCACCACTTCACCCTCACCACTTCACCACCTCACCACCTCACCACTCACCACCTCACCACCTCACCACTTCACCACCTCACCACTTCACCACCTCACCACCACTTCACCACCTCACCACCCCCTCACCACCTCACCACTTCACCACCTCACCATCCACCTCCTCACCTCACCACCGCACCACTTCACCACCTCACCACCTCACCACTTCACCACCTCACCACCTCACCACCACCACCTCACCACCTCACCACCTCACCACTTCCCACCACCTCACCACTTCACCACCTCACCACCTCACCACTTCACCACCTCACCACCTCACCACTTCACCACCTCACCACCTCACCACCTCACCACTTCACCACCTCACCACTTCACCACCTCACCACCTCACCACCCCCACCTCACCACTTCTGCCACCACCTCACCTCACCACCTCACCACCTCACCACCTCACCACCTCACCATACCACCTCACCACTCCACCACCTCACCACCTCACCACTTCACCACCTCACCACCTCACCACTTCACCACCTCCTCCCTCACCACCTCACCACCTCACCACCTCTGCGCCTCACCACTTCACCACCTCACCACTCCTCCACCTCACCACCTCTGCCTCACCACCTCACCACCTCACCACCTCCCCACTTCACCACCTCACCACCTCACCACTTCACCACTCACCACCTCACCACCTCTCCTCACCACCTCACCACCTCACCACTTCACCACCTCTCTTCACCACCTCACCTTTCACCACTTCACCACCTCTCCACCTCACCGCCTCACCACTTCACCACCTCACCACCTCACCACCTCACCGCCTCACCACCTCACCACCTCACCGCCTCACCACCTCACCACCTCACCACCTCCTGCCTCACCACTCACCCGCCTCACCACTTCACCACCTCACCACCACCACCTCACCACCACCACCTCACCACCTCACCACTCCTCACCACCTCACCACTTCACCACCCACCACCTCTGCCTCACCACCTCACCACTTCACCTCACCACCGCACCACCACCACTTCACCACCTCACCACCTCACCACTTCTCACCACCTCACCACCACCTCACCACTTCACCACCTCACCACCTCACCACCTCACCACTTCACCACCTCACCACTTCACCACCTCACCACCTCACCACTTCATCGCGGGAGAACACATCAGTGATAATAATTAATGCTGAGGAACCATCACACTAACACCCACAGATACAAACACTCACAGACACTCAGACAATCCCAGTTACTCACAGACACTCAGACAATCCCAGTTACTCACAGACACTCAGACAATCCCAGACACTCACAGACACTCAGACAATCCCAGTTACTCACAGACACTCAGACAATCCCAGTTACTCACAGATACTCACAGACACTCATAGTTACTCACAGATACTCACAAATACTCACAGACACTCAGACAATCCCAGTTACTCACAGATACTCACAAATACTCAGACACTCAGACAATCCCAGCTACTCACAGATACTCACAGACACACACAGTTACTCACAGATACTCACAGACACTCACAGTTACTCACAGACACTCAAACAATCCCAGTTACTCACAGATACTCACAGGCACTCACAGTTACTCACAGATATTGAGTAAAAATAACTAATCTCTTTTTACCTTTTATATTGGGATTGAGATAAAAAAAATTATTCCAAGTATAATATTGTTAATGGTCTGTCTCCTCACCTGAGCCTCTGTCGTCTTCTTGTTGACTGTCTCCTCACCTGAGCCTCCGTCGTCTTCTTGTTGACTGTCTCCCCACCTGAGCCTCCGTCGTCTTCTTGTTGACTGTCTCCTCACCTGAGCCTCCGTCATCTTCTTGTTGACTGTCTCTCACCTGAGCCCTCCGTCATCTACTTGTTGACTGTCTCCCCACCTGAGCTCCTGTTGACTGTCTCTCACCTCAGCCTCCGTCGTCTTCTTGTTGACTGTCTCCTCACCTGGAGCTCTTGTCGTCTTCTGTTGACTGTCTCCTCACCCTCAGCCTCCGTCATCTTCTCTTTGTTGACTGTCTCTCCCTCACCTGAGCCTCTGTCGTCTTCTTGTTGACTGTCTCCCCCACCTGAGCCTCCGTCATCTTCTTGTTGACTGTCTCCCCACCTGAGCCTCCTGCTGACTGTCTCCCTCACCTGAGCCTCCGTCGTCTTCTTCTTGTTGACTGTCTCTCACCTGGAGCCTGTCATCTTCTGTTGACTGTCTCCCCACCTGAGCCTGCTGACTGTCTTCCTCACCCTTTCAGCCTCCGTCATCTTCTTTGTTGACTGTCTCCCCACCTGAGCCTGTCGTCTTCTTGTTGACTGTCTCTCCCCACCTGAGCCTCCGTCACCTTCTTGTTGGACTGTCTCTCCCCACCTGAGCCTCCGTCATCTTCTTCTTCTTTTGTTGGACTGTCTCTCCCCCACCTGAGCTCTCCGTTGACTGTCTCCCCACCTGAGCCTCCGTCGTCTTCTTGTTGAGTATTATGCCTCGCTTGACACCACAGACGGGTATATATAATCTGTGTGTTTATGTCAAGTGTTTTGTGTTTGTTTGTTTGTTTGTTTGTGTACTATATGTAAACTTATTTAAGTTGAGTGATTTAGTGTTATTTTTATGTTAAGAAAAGGTTTAAGGGAGTACTAGTTTTATTCCCTTTAAAGTCTTAAGGGAGCAATAGTTATACTCCCTTTAAAGGCTTGAGGGAGTACTTATTATACTCCCTTTAAAGGCTTAAGGGAGTACTAGTTATACTCCCTTTAAAGTCTTAAGGGAGTAGTAGTTATACTCCCTTTAAAGTCTTAAGGGAGTAGTAGTTATACTCCCTTTAAAGGCTTAAGGGAGTAATAGTTATACTCCCTTTAAAGGCTTAAGGGACTAATAGTTATACTCCCTTTAAAGGCTTAAGGGAGTAATCGTTATATTCCCTTTAAAGTCTTAAGGGAGCAATAGTCATACTCCCTTTAAAGGCTTAAGGGAGCAATATTTATACTCCCTCCCGCTTCAAAAGGTTAAGTACTGCCACACAAACAAATTCATCCTGTGAGTTATTTAAAAAGTTGTGTTGTACGAGAACTTGGTTAAGAACACCTGTAGACTAAACACCCTGACTCTGAAGAGGGTTAGGTTAGGTTAAGTAGCGTTAGGTTAGTTAATCACCAGGTTAGGTTAGGTTAAGTTAATTTATGTTAAGTAGCGTTAGGTTAGTTAATCACCAGGTTAGGTTAGGTTAAGTTAATTTATGTTAAGTAGCGTTAGGTTAGTTAATCACCAGGTTAAATAAGTTGACGGGAAAGAATAATTTTCAGGTGATCTTTAATAATACTGTACTTAAGAGTTAAAGGTAAACCTCCTCAAGGATAATCATCATCCTCGAGTCATACTCAAGACTCAAGTCTCAAGTCACAACTATATTTCCAACAACCAAATTATTGTAATGTGTTGGAGGAAGATCTTCAAATACCAGGTTGTCTCAGAAAAATGTCTACACTACCTTGCATATCCCTGTGCAGGTCGTGTAAATGTTTGTAATAGAGTAGCATCACTGTCATCACCCGTCGCTGTGTGAGGCCTTCCACAAGTATGGTCAATGGAGCTCTGGTAATATAAACCAACATTCACACGACAAACTGTTAAGAACAGTGTGCATATATTTTTGAGACAACCCTGTTATTTAGTTTTGATTTTCTTATGAGCTTAAACTCCAGCCAATACAGGTAAATGTAGTGATGTTGTGTGTATAGATAATAAAGTTCCTTAAATCACAGTTTGTTATTGGTTATTTTTCCGTCAGTCATAAGTGGTGAAGAAGAAATGATTTGTTATTGTATACGTTAATTATTGAGGACTTACAGTAGTTTATACAAACATACATACACACATACATACATACATACATACATACATACATACATACATACATACATACATACATATATACATACATACATACACACAGCAGCTGCAACAAGAGCCAAGAGATAAAATTTCACACAGCAAGTAAATATATTCCCTGGACGCGCAAGTTTTTTTTTTTTAAGTCTGGTACACCAGATTAAGATTTGGATCCGACTAATTATGTCTTCTCCCCCCTTCCCCTTCTTCCCTCCTTCCTCTTTCTGCCTCCTTTTTCCTCCTCTTCCTCCCTCCTTCCTCTTCCTCCCTCCTTCCTCTTCCTCCCTCCTTCTTCCTTTTCATCCCTCCTTCCTTTTCCTCCCTCCTTTCTCTTCCTCCCTTCTTCCTCTTACTCCTCATTTACCCGCCTCTTCCTCCCTCTTCTTCTACCTCATATCTTCCCTCCTCCTCCTACCGATCCTCCTCTTCGTTGTCTTCTTAACACCATCGCCAAGATCTTTCTTTCGCCCACATCCCTCCTTCTATCATCTTCCTTCCTCCATCTACCATCTTCCTTCTTCCTTCCTCTTCCTCCTACCACCACCACCATTATCGTCATCATCATCTACCCTCTTTTCTTGTTCCATCCTCCTCCTCCTCCCCCGCTCACTCCTCTCTTCTTCCCTCTCTTCTTCCCTCTCTTCTTCCCTCCCCAACTTTATGAAGCTTCAGCCTTACACTCAGTACACCGAGAAGTCAACTTGGTCAATCCAAACGTCAGCCAAATTCGACTGACGTGATAAAGGTTCCTCAGCATCACTTTGACGTCAGCTAAATCTTATACACGGCATCAAGGATTTGTCAGTCCCCCTGTTGTCGTCAGCAAAAGATGTACAAGCATCGTGAAGGGATTGTCAGCGTCATGCATCATTTTTCTTT